AGGAACAGAAGCAGTCAGAGCTGCCGCCAGCCGTTCCAGAGGCTCCTAGCGCTGTGGGAGGTGACGACTTCTGGGATGATATCGGCACCGGCAAGTCGAACAGGAGTGGTAGTCTCATGCCCGACTCAATTGAAGAACCTAAGAACGATGATCCTTGGAGCTTCTCTAGCGGTTCTAAGAAGGACAAAAAGAAGAAGGGGAGCAAGAACGTTCCCGTCGAGATCAAAAACGGCTCCCACCTTAATGGTGTTAAACCTGACTCTGTCGAGGAGAGTAAATTTGACGACGACGAATGGGGATGGGGGGGTCTGAGCAAAGCTAAGAAGGCGTCTCCGCCTCCAGCCCCTACGCCGCCATCGTTAGACATGAGTTTCTCTGGCCAAGAACTAGAAGAGAATGTCTGGGATGACACGAAGGCCGAGGAAGACGACAAAGCTGCCGCCGAAACCGCAGCAGCATTAGCAGCAGAGATCGAGGCTGAAGAGGCAGAGATCGCCACGCTGACCGCGAAGAGTAAGAGGAAGAAGAAATTCACCAAGGCAGACCGTGAAAGGTTGGATGAACTGAATGCGAGAGCCGATCATCGCGCCGATGAGAAAGCTGCCAAGGAAGCTGAAGAAGCAGCTCTGAGAGAAGCCGAGGAGAAGGCGGCAGCCGATGCCTTAGAAGCGGAAGAGAGGGCTGCTGCTGAAGCTCGTGAGGCCGAAGAGAGGGCTGCTGCTGAAGCCCGCGAAGCTGAAGAAAAGGCCGCCGCGGAAGAGCTTGCAGCCGAAATTGCAGCCGAGGAGGCAGAACTAGCCCAGCTAACCACTAAGAAGAACAAGAAGAAACTGACGAAGACGGCCCAGAGGAGATTCGACGAGCTCACCGAGAGGGCTAACGCGCGTGCCGAAGAGCAAGCCGCCAAAGAAACCGAAGAGCAGGGCGGATCTGGTGGGTCTGATTCAGACTGGGCTGCTCAGGAAGCTGAGGACCAGGCAGCTAGAGAAGCCGAGGAGGAAGCAGCGCGTGAGGCTGAGGAGCGAGCGGCGCGCAAAGCTACAGACAGGGCGGCGCGCAAAGCTGCAGAGAAGGCTGCTAGAGAGGCCGAGGAAGAAGCTGCTCGGGAAGCCGAAGAACGAGCCGCTGAAGCTGAGAAACAAGCTAGGCGCGAACGCGAAGAAGCTGAAGCAGCTACCAAAAAGAAATCGAAGAAGAGCTCCAAGGCCGAGGATAAGAAGTCTAAGACTATCAGCAGCAAAGATAAGTTGTCCAAGAAAGAAAAGGAGAAGGAGGAGAAGGAGGAAAAGGAAAGGGAAATAGAACAAGAATACGACAGGAACGACGACGACCTCGATCTTGACAATATCGACTTAGCTCCCGAAGAAGTGGACGCGATCTTATCGGGCTTCTCGGCCCCCACTCCCAAACCGCAACCTCCTAAATCTGATGCATTTTCGTTCTGGGGTGCCAAGCCCAAGAGCGTGTCGCCCGATCAGGTAAGTAGCTCCAAGACATCGGGAGCGGCCGAAATTAAATATGCTGAGTCATCACAGTTTCTCGAAGATCCCACAGTCGAGGACGCGCCATCATCTTCCAAGGCTACCGTGACTACCGACGACGACTGGTTAAAGCCAAAAAAGGCCAAGACTAAGGTCAAGAATAGCAGACTTGCTGACAAGCTTAAGAAATTTGAGCCGGCGAAAGAAGAGGAAGAGTACGACGACGACCTTGACCTAATTGACGCGCTATCTGCACCGCCGCCGCCGCCACCTGCCATTCCCATCGCGCCACCCAGCAACGACAGGAAGTTCAGGTCTTCCAACGACTTCTTTCCTGGGGCCTTCCCGGACGAGGTGGACGAGGACGAAATTATTGACATCGTTGACATGGCGCCGGCAAAGAAAAAGAAGAGCAGCAAGAAGGGTAAAGCTAGGGCCGTCGAAGTACCACCTCCGCCGCCACCCGCAGTACCTGCACCCCCTCTAGCTGCCCCTGAGGCGCCCCCGTCGCCTCCGGAGGTCAAGTCCCCTAAAAGAGAACGACCGAAGATCAATCGCGACGGCAGCACGTCGTGGGGAATGTGGGCCGCGACACCTAGAAAAGAGGAGAGGAAGACTAAGCCAAGGTCTGAAGAGAAGAGACCCAGGAAAGAGAAGGAAAAGTCATCGTCTTCTAAGGGCTCGTCTTCCGACAGAGACAGGCCGGAGGAGCGACGAGAGAAGAGATCTGCGCCGACTCCTAAGCCACGCAAGGACAGCTTATTCCAAAGCACCCCTCCTATATCGCGCTCTATCTCGACCCGCGAGAAGCGCAACGGCGCGAGTAAATCGAGCTCGCGCCGTCATTCGGTCGATATGACAAGTGGCCTAGTGTCGCCGCCACCCGAAGATATACCCGTCATGTCATCTAAGGCTGCAAAGATTCTCGGCGTTGATAAAGGTCGCAGTCGCAAAGCTCCTACGGCGCGTGCTATGGAAGACGAAGATATTATCATGGTTGGAGCTGGCGACGCTTCCTCGAGTCCCGAAAAACCAGCTCGCAGGCGATCAAAGGTAAAGGCACCCCCCTTCCGTCAGACACAATTGAATGCGGCTAACCCCTCACAGACTAAGACCGAAGATGACGTTATCATGGTCGACGATGCCGATGCGACGCCTCTTAGACGATCAAACTCGAGTGCCAAGAAAGGGCTCACCGGTCTCTTCGGTGGGCTCATGTCCTCTACTCCGCGCCCCGATATACGTCCCGAACCACGTCGCCGCAGTACATACTATACCACTGATGACGAGATCAGGCCTGATAAGAGGCCTAGACGGCCTTCGCGGGATTATCGTGGTATCGACACCGATGCCATAGATGATGAAAGAGAAGCACGTCGCGCAGCCCGCCGTGCGAGGAAGGCTGAAGAGAAGGCTGCCGAAGAGGCACGTCTTGCGAAAGAGGAAGCGAGGCGCGAGAGACGTAGGAGACAGGAAGAGGAAGAGGAAGCCCGTAGGCAGGCGGAGCGCGATGCTCGACGAGCAGAACGCAGAGCTGCCCGAGAACGCGAGGCGGAACGTCTCGCCGTCGAAGCCAAGGAAGCCGAAAGAGCCGAACGGCGTCGGCTTCGCAGGCTTGAAAAGGAGGCAGCGGCTGCCGAAGAGGCTGAAGCTGAAGCTCGACGTGCTGCTCGGGCTGACCGGCGGCGATCACGGTACGTAGATGCGGAGGAGGACGAGGAGGATCGCAGGCGCAGGAGGCGCGAAGCTAGGCACGCCGAGGAAAAAGCCAGTCGGAGGCGATCAATGCCTGTGGACGACTATGTCTACCCCCAAGAAAGAACCTCGCGATATGCGGTCGATGAGCGCAGGCGAAGCAAGCCCGCGCCGGCATGGCCCCACTCAGGTACGGATTCTTGGGTGAAGGAGCACTCGGACGCTGGGCCGCCCCCTGAGGATGGTCCCTCTGCCGACGCACCACCACCTGCGGAGGAAGATGATGAGGAGGCTCGCCGTGCCGCCCGCCGAGCTCGCCGCCGCGCGAAGTACGGGGATATCGATGCGGACATGGAGGACGATCGACGCCGTCGTCGTGCGCGTCGCGAGGAGCGGGAACGTAGAGAGCGTCGCCCAGGCGGATCTGACGGCAGCGGTGGTGATAAGGGGCCGCGTGAGTCTTTCTTCACGGACTCGACGCCTCGAAGCAGTTGGTGGAAGAAACTCACCGGCGGCACGTAAGAACTATAGAGCTCGGGCTATAGTAGCGAGGGCCAAACAGGGATGGGCCATGCGGGTAATTGTCTTTTTTGGGTGTGTTTTTCTGAGCGGTTTTGTTCGTTCACATAGCATCATCGTTTCGGACGCTTTTGTTGCCACGCCTTTTTGGATCAGCTTTCATGTTGACATATACCCCTGGAATAACTGGTTCCCACCATTGGGGGTGGCTGTCGATGCCTTCTTGTTGTACGAATCTAGAGGGACAGCTGGATCCAAGATCTGGCTACATTGGATGGCATGTATTACAGTGTTGGCTGGTTACGTCTTTGGTGTGTGTGTGTGTACAAGTGACGTGGCAAGGCTGAGCGCGGGATGGGGAAGTAAAGCAACCAAGCAAGCGGATTGGGGGTTTGGGTCCGTCCACACCGCGCCCGACACTCTCCGATTGGATCATCTATATTGATATATCATGTTGGGGTTTTACCTCACGTAGGAATTTGTTTTCTTTTTTTTTTTGGTTTGAGCAGTACGAAATCGATATACCCCCCACTTCATACAATTCAATACAGCCTTGCATAAATATATCGGGCTAGGGACTTAAGTTTGGTCTGCATATCGTGGTATGGCATAGCATAGCATCATTCGTTACACGAAGAATTAGAATAAAGAGACTTTACCAAGGAATTATTACATCTTGCTTTATGTGTCTAAAAGTGAAATGTGAGATGTGATAGAGTAAGGGGTACGTACTTGTCTGTGTGTGTAGGTGGATACGATCTTGCCCCTTAAGCAGGTAGCCGCCGCATGTGATGAAAGTGTGGCGGGCTTGGACCGTTTGCGTGAAGATGTTCACAGTTGATGTGGATTATACAAACGAGAACCCAAACACATGGCTCGCTACATACGTGAGAGCTACATCTGCTTCTAGGATAATGAATAATACGGGAGGTATAGTAATGTGAATTATATGTGAGTGGCAAACTTGAAGGGTTTCATAAGCCTCGAGATCTCGCATGCCTTCACGTTTATATCTACCTACGATAGCCTCACTTATGTAAACGGATAGGCAGTTAGGCAAGTAACATACCTGCCTGGGGGTAGGTAAGTAGATAGGGTAAGCAAGACGAAAAAAGTAATCCCAAGATACCTGCCTTCCGCGCCTTCACATGTTCGTTCCGTCAGAAGTCGCGTCCCGCTATGGCCAACCTCCCTCTCTCCTTCCTTCCTTCCTTCCTTCCTTCCTGGCTACATGCCTTGATACAGACCTTATAATAAATCCTACACGTCGAATCTTCCAGTCCCAGCGAGGAGGATGTGACAGCGGCACCCATGGAGCAGCAGTTTAGCTCATTCCCCTCCCATTTGGCCGAGTGGGCGAGGGAAAGACCCGGGTGCAAACCCCGGTGGATGCAAATCACTTTAATTTTTAATTTTTAATAAGGCGGACACGTAGGGTTCACGCCGAGTTCGAGGGAGGTTTCTTCCTTTCTATCTTTTTGCTCTTGCCCCTTTCCTACATATCTACCATTTCGTACCTACCCGGGTATAACCTGATTCACCCCTTAGACTTCAGCCTCTCTACCACGTCCCCTTCTCAATATCTAGCCTTCTTGCAAACGAAGTCTCCAGAGCGCTGTTTGTTAGAAATAACAGGCCCTAGTTTGCTCTTGAAGGCTGCCATAGTTTTCTCCTTGCGTAAAGTGTCCAGAGCCTCGCTAGCCCTCCTATCTCACGTATTACATACACACTGTCATATATAACCAAACCTATGTGTCACCCAACTCTAGAGGAAATGATAGGTAACAAATAACGTCCTCAGTCTGTTTGGTTAGTTACCAAGACAGTATAGTAGATCGGAAACATTGACTATTTCTTCGTAGCCTCACCTAACACAAGCCATGTGTAACAAGCAAAACAATCCTGATAAACGAATTCACATAAACACAAGAGCCATATATAGAATTTAACGCAGTCATGTAATTGGCAAGAAACAAGCCGTCCGTCGGTCATATCCTAGGTATTGACGGACGGGTTTGCTTACTTGCTTGCTTGCTACCTACTAGCTAGAGGTAAACGTTCTTGAGTTGCGCGATATGTATCGTTGTATCAGACAATCAGACAGACAGACAGTGCCAGCCAGCGGCTGTGACAACCCAAGCAATGATCGTGGGCGAACAAGCCAACACGAATTTGAAATCAACCCAATCCCAAACAACGGATAGCAACAGCAACAGCCAAAAGAGGGAATCGATCCATCCATTCCTCCCAGCTTCGTCCCGTATCCCTGATATCCCATCCCCACTACCCGCCCAAGAAACGCCCCGTTTGTAGCGTCTGCGACCATGACAGCACAGCGTAGCTAATTATGCCTTTGTTTGAGTAGGTAAAAAAAAGATAACGGTAACCAAAAAAAATAAAAATAAAAAAAATAAAAACTGAAGAGGAAAGAGGGAGGAAAGAACCTAATGCCACGCGCCCAACAATGAATACTGATTGAGACTAATGTCCAAAACCCGCACACTTTTTTTTTAGGATAGTCCAAGTAGGAGAGAGAAAAAACACACACGCAACAACCCAATGGAAGAAGGTTAGGTATTCAAGAGTTACCACTGCGATTGGCAGGGAATTTCCCCGCCACCGTTAAGAGCCCTCCTCGGCTGCTCGCAGGACGCCGTTGCCCACAATATTCAATCAACCACCCGCCGCCTTATGACTGTGAAAACAAATGTGAAAAAGCTAACAACAAACAACCTCGCCAGAACCGGAAGCAGTCGTGAGAGAGAGATAGATGCCCGTCGTAGCACATTACAAGGTGTAGTAGGCATTTATATAGGAATGAGGCTTCATAGTCCCGTTTCGGATGTTGTAGTGTAGAAACACGTGAATCTAGGGGTGGTTTTAGGTTGATCTAGTATATATCGAGCGAGGGCGGGATTTGAAGGCAATCGGAGCATGAAGGAGGTTCATTCCTGATCGGTGCTGGGTTCTGTATCCTCAGTAACAAGATCGCCATACTTGGCCTTGTACCTCTCGAGCTCGGCTAACTGGGTGGCGAGGTTGTCGAGAACGACGGACATCGGTGTTCGGAGATCATCCAGTGAGCTGATACGACCACCTCCCATGGCGATGTGTCGCATTGCCAGCGTGGATATGCAAGTCTGCGGTGGACAGTTAGTATACATAACAAAACTAATTTCAAAGTCGTCGAGACATACCTCTATGCGGCTAACTTGATGATCCATGAAGTTAAATAGGAATCGTTCCGTAACCTCACCACCACGTTGCTTCATACGCTCCAATAGCTCGGTCTCGGGAGGCTGCAAGCCCCTGCCTGACATCTCTTCCAGAGAACTGCAGAGCATCTCTAGGCGCAAACTAACTTTCCATAGAGACCAGATGACCTCTGGATCAAACCCGATATCACTTCCAGGTTGAAGCGTGGCAGGCTTCTCGGTGAAGTCGGCTGCTGAGACAGCATTGTTATGATGCTCAATGCGACCCGTGAGGACATGCGGGTAAAGCGAGTAGATATACTCGGGGTTTTCGAGGCCCTTGAGTTTCCTCTCACCAATATCCTTGACCTCGAATCCTTGCGAGCTGAGCGATTTCAACTCTCTTCTAATTGAAGATGATGTTGCGTCGTCATCGAAGGTATCATCGGAACCTGTAGACCCAGTTCGATCATTCTCTTGATATGTCTCAAGGCATCGCTGGATCTCCGAAATGAAGTCTGCCGACACAGTGATCTGACCCCCATCGGCCACGGACGAAATACGAGACGCCTTGTTCACCATGGGTCCAAAATAGTCCATCCTGCGTGTTACAGGATCAATCTCGGCTACAGGCTCGCCATAATGAATGCCCATTCTGACCGAGAGGCCTCTAAAGATGAGATTGTTATCCTTATCATAGACGTCCTGGCAGGAAACCGAGTTAAGGATTTCTGAAGGCCACGGTACCTCGAGCAGGTGAGTCTGGACGGCGAAGCACCACAACAGCGCTGCCGTGGCAGTAGGGAAGGAGACCATGAAAGCATCACCTTCAGTCTTGACTTCGTACCCGCCGATTCTCCGAAGTTGCCGCCGCATGACCTCGTTGTGAAGCTTTATCGCGGATCTCATGGCTGAGGGATACGTCTCCCACAGGTTAGTTGAATTCTTGATATCAGTGAAAACGATAGAGGGCTTGTCAGTGGGAGCAGGGACTTCAGCTTCGAGCCTGTGTAGCGTAGAGTCTTGGACCTCCCCTTTGGCCTTCCTGCCTCGCTTGACCGGATATTGGAATTCGTCTGGGACGCCCGAGGGATACAGTGACATGCTCTGCCCTCTGTGCAAACGAGCCGACCTTTCCTGACGCCGCTTGAGATCGGCGACGCTGATCATCATGACCATGATTTTCCCGGTCGACCCATAGGCTATAGCAAGGTCTCGCAGCCTGTGCGCAGCGCGCATGAGATCGCCTCGTTCCGACCGGGTAACGTCAACTACCAAACCGGGTGTCAGATACTGCCACAACTCTTTTGTGGCTATCAGAATAGTTTCGTCCTGTGGCGTGATGGATATCTGAGTGATATGAGGAGCTGCTTGTACAGCAGGCATCAGATCGACATAACCAAAAGCACGAGAGACTTCAAGCAAATCGTTCAGCTTCCCCTGGCGTGACACCCAGCCTCCAGCATCCCGAATTCGCTGGCGCTCACTTGGCTCCGCGGGGTCGTGCTTCCGAGTGAGGACCTTATGTGAGCCATCAGACTGGATGATCATGGCCTGTGCATCACCAACGTTGGCGACATAGAGTTCTTGAGCTTGAAGATACGCAACCGTGGCAACCCCTCCGGAGTTGAGATCTTCCTTACTCAGGACAACGGGTGCCGATGAACCGCGATGTGACATCAGAGGCCTCTTCTCGGTATGCTCTATGGCTACAGTGACGAGGTCCTTATTGAGGGCAATGAACGCACGTCGAAGCGCATCGATAGGAGTTTCGTTCTGGCGCGTCTTTAGGGCCTTCAACTCCATTGAGAAAATGTGCCCGAAATTCTCGTGAAGGTACTTGGCAATCTTAGAGCCACCACTAGACAGCGCCTGCCCGTCAAACAAGCCTAATAGCGTCTCCGAATCCGAGGAGTTGAATCTCGGAACGACCAAGTCAATGGTTGACAAATGTTCGTTTCTACCTAGCGTATCAGCCATGCCATATGGTAGGTGGCCCGCTAGTGAACCTGAAGTTCTGACACGGCGATCCTCGCTCTGATCTGGAATGCTCGGTTGAGTAAGGGTGACATCCATCAATCCAAGCACACGAAGATTCAGCAATCGACTGAAATCCGTGTACTGCTCGCGATTTTGGGACCCCAGGCCAAGGTTTGTTTGTTTGATTTCCAGACGTTTGTTGCCTGACAAATTGAGAAATCGCAAATTCGGATTCAGGTTCCAATTCCAGTCATACGGCACATTTGAAATGTTGTATTTGAGGATATTGTTTCCGCAATCTAAAACAGCCAACTTTTTAGCTCGCGAGATATCCGCTGGAAGATTCGTGAACTTGTTGTTATTGATGTGAAGCACTTGGAGCATGCTGTATTCCCCTAGATCATCAACCGGTAAGCTGGTAAGATCATTACCCGACAGGTAAAGCTCCACGAGCTGAGGCCAGTTCTTGATACAGCGCTGTGGCATGTCGCTGAGGTCGTTATACGACAAGTTGAGAATGCGCAATTCGGTCAGGAGTGTGATCTGATCGAACACGTCGTCATCTAGCTGGTTATCGGCGAGGTACAAGTTCCTCAACGAGCCGGCGAACGTGTTAGTCAACCGATTGGAAAGTCCGGAGTCTTTCCTCGATGCCGCGGGGGTCATAGTTCCATTGATACTGCTAGCCGTGGTACTTCGCGATACGACTGAAGTTTTCCGTCCTCCCTTTCCGTAAACTGAAACAACAGAGCTCTTCCGATCCGGCCCTGAAGGGACAGGAGAAGGCCCGACGCTGAGCAATGTACTTGATGCTTGGCTGGGCCGACGTGATCCATCGGGCATAAGATCTTCGGAGCTGGACGTTTGTGACAGGGGTCCGGTAGGCAGTTTGTTGTTGGGAGTAGGCGAGCCTGAAGATTCCCCAGGCATTTGGGGTGGACGTGAAGCGGGCTTGGGGAAATTCTCGAGCACATTCGACGAGGCATTGAGCGTTTCTAGTTTATTCGCCCACCATATATCCATCGGCAACTTCCTAATGTTGTTCCCTCTGATATCTAGTACTCTCAATTCATACAGACACCCGATTTCTGGAGGTAGTTCACCCACTGAGTTGTGGGCTATGCTGAAATGCTCCAGCCTTCTCATATTTCCAATAGTATTGGGAAGAGACACGAAGTAGTTGCGGTCTAGTACAAGTCTCTCTAGATTGACCATGTTAT